GCTTGTGTAAAAATCTGAAGGCACCCCAGGGTGTGGTTGAAAAAGACTTTTCTAGAGGCTTATGGTTTTTTATCTTCAGGTATTCTATGCATGAAGGTAAAGATCCTTCAATGTGCAGCCCCCCCCCCCCCCAATACTTATCTCAGTCCCATCTCCATGTAGCAATGTGCACAAGAGCAATGTCTCTCCCTCCTGCTGAGACACAGCAGGTGCAGCCACAGGCTTCTGCTGTTGTCATTTTACAGCAGGGGTACAGGGCCGACCATAGACACACAGATGAAGCTCAGGAACGAGCACGTTCTGGGGGCACTTAGCGGGGAGGGGGGATTGGGGGGTTGGAAGCGCCAAAAGCATCGGCGTGAGACTGAAGGAGAGGTGGACCACTGCACAGAGCAGATAAGTATGACATATTTGTTGTTTAAAAGAAAAATGTTAAACCTTTAATATCATTAACTCCCTGTCCAGAGACACAAGTGAAGGAAAATCCCCTCTTAGATGGCACAAGTTTCCTAGGCAAGATTTACCGTTTCTTGTTCTTGGGACAACTCTAAAATGTTGACATTTCGACAGGTTTCAGCCTTTCTGCGATGTATCCAAAACTGAAAAAAGGTTTTACTTACAGCTTCACAAGCTTTTCATAACCATACACAGCCTGTCTGTTTTTATTCAACAGGCAGGTGTTCTGCTTACGTGGTGCAGGTGGTGTCACTAGGCAGGATTTGAGCCTCATATATGCAAACTTTAATCAGAAAAGGTAAAGCATGATCTGCTGTAGAAAATTGCTGGGCGTTTAGGGAGACTAGAGTCAAACAGGGCTCCTGAAGTTTCAAAATATGTCATATTGAAACAGGAGGTCCTAGGACACTCCGGTTATAGTTCACTTAACTCAGACATGTAGTGCACTGAAATGCTAACAACAGCAGCTTCTTTTTTAAAACATTATGTAAAATCCTTACTTACTGAGTATAATGCAATTTATGTATTTTTTTTATTAGGAAAAAACATCAAATAATACTGCTGCTGTAGCCTTCATACCACCGATTGACAACAAATCTCGAAGGGCCAAGCTTTCATTTGAAGACCGGTAAGATATAAATTCAGTATTTAGGTTTATTTAGCACAAAAGCTGTATGTTCAGTATTGCCCATTTTTTTTTGTCAACATAGGTTTAAGTAAAATACACTGGAAAACACTGTAAACAGTGACATCTACAGTCTGTACTCTGTATATCAAGAGGAAATAAACACCCATGGTTTCTGTTTACAGTCATTTTCCACCTGATGCCATTATATCTGTAATTGCTACATTCTCAGTGCTTAATTAGATTTTAATATTACATATAATATTAAATATTTAAATCGGCAATTATGTTTTTGTTTTTCTAGAAACCATTCAGCTGATCATTACCTACAGGAGGCAAAGAAACTGAAGCACAATGCAGATGCTTTGGTAAGTTTCTTCAGAGACAACTTAGGTTCTTACAAAGTACATTCTCTCAGCTGTACTTGTTTACTTAAAGCAGAACCAAGCTGGAATGTTTAAATCAATTGCTGAGTTAGCTTTTTCTTGACAGAATAGACTGTTAGATTTTTCTTACCATAAATGCTTCCTCCCAGCCGCTTGTGCACAGCTGGATGTAGTCTTAATATGATTTTATGTCTTGACAACGTGCATATGTGTGGGAGTTATGTCTTCCTGGTCAATCAGTACAGTCAAAGACTTTTGGGCACAGAAGCGACGAAGCACAAGAGAGAGTGTCCATTTTATCGCTGGTGAAAGCCGCTTTGCAAGGTTAATGTGGTAAAAGATAACAACTTTACATAAGTCTTGATGAAACAAATCCTCCCACATTAACTGTACCTGTTTATCTGCAGCCCTCTGTCCTCCAGAGCCTTTCAGAGTACATAGATCCAATGGTATTTTTCTCAGCTTCCAGGAGGCAGAGGGCATGGATCTGATATCACACTTTGCACAGAGCAAAGAGCTGAGTGTAATCACCAGAGTTGACTGAATAGACATACCCTCCTCTACAAAGTCTCAATGGGAAAGATGTACAACTGAGCGTGTCCATCAAAAGCTATTTGCTAGAGGATGGGCCCTCACCATGGATTGCTTACTGTAGGTGAAAATTGTCACAATTGACGGATGCAGATTGTGCGTGAAGGAGAAAGTAACCAGGTTCACCACTCTAGTTGCTATGGGTTTTGCAAGTACATTTTATATAAGGATAAGGTTAATTCCTTTTTCCTTTCTGTGGTTTACAACCACGGTAAATGTGCCATAATGTGCAAATATGTTGAGCATACCTGCACATTATGGCAAGAGCTCCTGGAGGCCCCTAACTTTGTGTGCAGTTTAGTTTTCCTTTAAAAGAGTGAAAAGAAAATATAAAGTGAATTTGTGATATGTGCATGACCAAATATTAGTTATTTTATCCATTGAGAGATTCACTTTTCCTTTAGAGCTTACACTGTTACCTACAGGATAATTGGACACTGGTAAAAAAAAACAAAAAAAAAAACTGTAGGCTAGCCAAGGATAAACCCTCTTAATACCAGCATTCCATGTTTTTATGCTAGCATCCTAGGAAGATCTTTTCTTCACTCTGATGGAAAACATGTAACCTAATTTTTCTTATCTGATGCAGTATAGGCACCCGTGTGAACAGACTTGCTGCATTGGGTGCTCTCAATTAACACTCCACTAATGGTTCTGGTGCTGCTTGCAGAGTGCCCACTGATGCAGCCGATGTATGCAGCTGAGAGTCATGTTGCCATCGGATCCTAGACTATTTCTAATTTTTGGAGTAGTTTCCATCTTCGTGAGGTCCTGGTGGGGTCTTTGCTTTCTCAAGATATTTTACTACAGTCGTACATGGCTGTGTGGCCCAAGTCCCACAATTATTTGTGGACCCTGACCACAGAGGCCATAATCGCAGTCGTGTGCTTTCCCCTAAAGGTTCTACAAAGTGTCTACAACCCTGTTCTTGCTAGCAGGACCTGTCTTAGCTCCAACTTTGATATGCCAAACTGTGGATGATAGTGTCAAGATCCCTCCTAATGGCTTTTGAACAATTGTGCTTGATCCCTTGGTCCTTGAACATTTGGAGCATAGATTGTCCATTTTAGATTACAGTTGTGGCAGGTTGCTGCTGGTTCCCCTTCTCATCTCCCACATGGGTCTTCTTGTCTGTACAGTTGCATAGTTCAGTTTGTGTTGAATTGTAGAACACAGATCTAAAAAGTACCTGCACAGCATGGCCTTTGAACAACAATGCCTCTTTGAATCTACTCTGGATACCATTATCAAAGATACTACTACTGGCAGGGGAATTCTGCTTCCTCAGTCAAAGAGGCCTAAATCCTGCTACACAGCATGAGTTTTCTTCCGCTAGGCTGAACGAAAGAGAAAACTGAGGAGCTTGCAAGGAGGTTTCTGTACTAACTGCAATGTTAATACAGCGATCTCCCCACTGTGTTATTGTGTTCTGACAGGGGACCGCCCTTCCCTCCAGAACACACCAGTCAGCCATTAGTAGATTTTTTTCCAGCATACCCATTCTACGGAAGCCAGACAGGCTGTTCTGTTGAACTAGCCAATATTCGGCCCATGGATACCAGGCTTTAGGCACAGCCTAGGAAGGTTTATTCCTTTTTTGGAGGTTAAGAAAACACTTTTTCTTGAAACCACTCCTGCAACCTCTAAGTACAAACCCTCTAAGCCTAACTGCCAGTCCACCTGCAAGGTCTAGACCACGAAGTTCACCAAACCCTCAGACAGAGATTCCTTGGCTTGCAGGTGCACCCCCACTTTCCACAGTAGGGGGATGTCTTTTTGCCCATGTGGACACTTTGGGTGGCTTGTATCTCAGATGCTTGGGTGTTGTAGGTGATTTCTGGGGGCTACAAGCTAGGATTTCACTCCAAACCCCCTCCTCTGTTTCCCACCTTTAGCCTCGCTGTGTCACTGCATAGATTAGCAAATCTTCGATCAAGCCCTGGCTCGGCTTCTGAATCAGGGTGTCATTACCTTGGTTTCTACGACAGAACAATTTCACAGCTGTGTACTTAAGCCTGTTTGCGGTTCCCAAAGGGAGCATCCACCACATCTTGAATCTCAAATCCCTGAATATCTACTTTTAAGCTGAGAATTCCACATGGAATTTCCCCAAAAAAGTGATAGAATTACTGTGGCAATAAACGAGAAAAAGAAAATGGGAGTTTTGTACTTGCCATACAATCCTTTCTTGGAGTCCATTGCGTTACACAGGTCCCACCCATCTCTGTTTATAATTCCTCTCAGTACTGCTTTGCTCCAAACTGGGGCATGCATGTGTGGTAGGAGGGGTTGTTCTTGTCTGGTCTACAGCATCTTCTGCTTTGAGAAAGAAACCTGGGAGTGCAGTGGATTGCATATGGCAGATTGTAAGAAACATATAAATAAGTGTGTGTGTTTTTCCAAAAGTCTAAACTTTTTTTTTTCTTCCTCTTTCTAGTCGGATAGATTTGAAAAAGCGGTATACTACCTGGATGCAGTGGTCTCCTTTATTGAGTGTGGGAATGCACTAGAGAAAAGTGTTCAAGAAGCAAAATCCCCGTTTCCTATGTATTCAGAAACAGTGGAACTCATTAAGTATGTATAATGATGTGTGTACTGTGAACAATATGTTTTGAGACTGCTTTATAGGTGACAAACATGTTTTGGTTTATTTTTTTTTTTGTTTTTTTTGTTTTTTTTTTTTACTCTTTCATCTTATAATAGCTCATTATCTATTCCAGCCATGTTTACAGTTATCGTGTGTGTTTTTTGTTTGTTAAATTCTTGTACAGGTAGCCTGATTTTAATTGTTACTGTTGTTTTACGCGTAGAAAATGTTATTGATATATTAAATATAAATTTAGACAAGAACTCACAAATGAGTAGAAATCCTTATAAATCGCAAATATTAACTTTTTAGGTATACTATGAAGCTGAAGAGTTATTCTGCTCCAGATGCTACTGCAGCTGATAAAAGGCTTGGTGTTCTTTGGTAAGTGCAATGTTTGAGAACTGTCATAGTGAAATCCAGAAAATCCGTAATTTTAGCTAGTGCATTTTTAAGCGCTCTACTTTGAAAAGTGTATTTTCTATCTGCTTTAATTGATGTTCAGACAGTATTAATTTTAGGACTACATTGAGAAAAACTGAGAAAACTTATGTAGAAAGACATAATCAGAACAGTGCTAGATTTCCAAACTGAATACTGTATATTGCATCCAAAGTTTTATAACCTTATAATTTACAATCCAACATTTAGTCAGCCATTTAGCACCATGACATTCCTCGCTTTGGCCATGTGAAAACTACAGTTTCAGTATTACAGTCAAAATCTTTAATATCTGTAGTTAAACTGCAGAGCTGTATTTATTTTTAATTGGGTAGATTAAAAAAAACATATTTGGAGTCACCACTTGCAGCCAAGCAAATTTCTACAGTTTTTTCCTCTGCAGGTATTTTGATAAAATAGAAAACTGCTTGATTGCGGGAAAGGTAATCCCTTCTTCTCCCAATAGAGATAGCTTTAGCTAATGCGTTACCTGAAGCTGATGATAAGCATGCAAGTAGAGCTAAGTATCCTTTTTGGAAATCCTAGTATATTTGCAGACTGAGTATCATGGGTGCACCCATTGTTCTGACTGGATCATTAGAAACCAGGTTTCCGACAAGCCTCTTATATCTGAGTGGCAGCTCAGATTTGTGCTTGTCTTTTCATGTTTTCGACCGCTACCTTGTGTCTGAGGATCTGGGGAAACTTGGGTTTATTGTGATATTTGGCTAGTGTGCTGGTCGATTTCCGAAGAAGGACGACAGATGGCGATGCCTCCATAGTACCTGTACTACATCAGTACCCACCGTCCATGGCTCCAAGGACTACTTTTTTGTCTTTCAAATTACACAAATATACGAAAATTGTTAAGCGATTTAAAACATTAAAGAATCAACAAAAGGGTTGTTTTTATCTGTTTTTGCACTTGCCATACACCTAAAAGTAAAAATAACTTCTCAGTGTGTTAACATTTTAAAAACATTGAGGCTGATTTACTAAAGGAATTGAGAATCTTCACACAATAATATGCATGAATATTTACTTCAATTATCTAACCATTTAAAAAGAAATCTAATCTACTGTTTGACTTATTTATTCTGCAGGGGATTGGATAATTGAAGTGAATATTACCTGTTTTTAACTGAAGATTTTTAACTCCTTCAATAAGTCAGCCCAGTTTTTCTATACTTTATATTATATATTAATACAAATTTGAGGCGATAAAAATAAGACACTAAACTGAGAGATACTGTATATATAGTCAGTTGACATATTAATGCCTGGCCCATTTTAGTGTCTACATACTTATTCTCTTTCTGTTATACATAGCCTATAACAGTGGAAACAGAGTTAATATGACATATAGAATGTATCTAAACCCAACAACAAATATATAATTTAACATCTTACTAGTCGTTAGGTGTGGTTGCTGCATACTGTTACCCCTGATAACTATTTCCTGTTCTGACCTGGTACAAAGAACACGGGTTGTTTAGTTGAGTCAGAACCTGAACATAATTGAACAACTCTGTGACTAGTAAATGAAAGAAATAATCTTCTGGTTTTGTTAATATCTGTAACATTGTTTACATTTTTTGTTTTGTGCCCCTACAGTCTCAGGTGTCAGTCTCTTCTGTACTTAAGGTTGTTTAAACTGAAGAAGGAGAGTGCATTGAAGTATTCCAAAACATTAACTGAGCACCTAAAAGTAAGTGAATTTTAGTAGAATATAAATGCTGCCTTCTCTGTTGCTTAGAAAATATTATGTCTGATGAGTACCTTTAATAAGGCATCAGGGTTTGACATTACTTGTCTGAACCATTAAATGTAACACACAATCTATGCTTCACTTTGCTATGCGTGACATTTAAAACGATGTACACATCCTTTTTTTTTCCCTCTTTGAATGAAGCTAACCAATGCTCCAGTTGCAAACTTACCTTGATCCCACACAGCGGTTTTAGTGGCATATCCTCCATGTGTACAGGGCACACAGGCCCCAAGGGGAATGCAGACCACTGTGCTCCCACTCATTGCACATACATTGTGGTTTCAGTTTTCCACCTTCTCTTTTTACCGTTTCACCTCTCCCCATCAGTTGTATATGTGCTGTCAGCATCTCTCATGACGCTCCTCTCTAAGAGTCGGGCCACATATATGCGGATTGGATGTGGTTTGAACCGCATCCAATGCAAAATAACATTGCTTCCTATGGTTCATCTTCACATATGTCTGGTGCACTGGCAGTGCGGATTCAGTGCAGTTTGAAAAAAGAGTCATGTATAATTCCTGAGCGGTGTCTTCAGGTTCAGGTACAGGATAAAATCCTAAGCTAATCCTGTCCTGAACCTGAAGTAAAGCTTGCATGATCTACTGAACAAATACTGTATCAATTAGCTGTGAAATCTGAGCTTCAGTCTGCACTACACATGTGTGAATCTGCTCATTCACAAAAGTATCTTTCTCGAGCCAAGATCTCTTCACCAAGGGAGTGAGCACTGATGTCATTAGCTGGGGACGCCCTTTTCTTCTATTCAGTGTCAAAGTAGCATCTCCCTGCTGCTGCTCTTGCTTTGCATTAACAAAAAAAAAAAAAAAAAACACTTGGGATTTTTATCTGTGGTATATTCCTACTTGCTACAGTGACAAAACCTGCCATCTGACCCTCACCAACTACCAGCTGTCTACGTTTTTGTGAGTACTTGTGAGGCTTAGCGTTTGTACCCTGAGCTTAGTTGCATCACCACCACACGGTTGCAACATGTCTGCAACCAGACACAGAGGGGATGATCCTGCTACAGAGGGTGACCACCCCATCTCACGCTCTTCTAATGATTCTGGGCACATTTGTTATATGGCTTCTGAAGGTATTCATGTCGGCTATCTGGAATCATGTTGCCCTATGATTATAGTCCTTTAACTCTTCCATAGAGTAAACAAGACTTTGCAGGTAAATTCACCCAGTTTCTCACTTGTGCCAGCCAAAGAGGATTTAAGCATGCTCCTGTGCCTTCCAGTTGATTTCTGATCTGTTAGTCTATATTAAACCAGAGCACTAGCAATTCAAAGGTCCATATAAGATCAGAGATCTCCTTATGCTTTCACCAGATTCATCCGATAACCAAGCAATGTATACAAATAAATCCTTCTCTCCACCTCTTCTCTTCCATCTACTCTTCTACTTGTGCTCCCAAAATAAAAAAACAAATATAGTGTAGTATTTTCTCGACTGATTAAATATATACAATACATCTAAAATTCTCAAATGATATAGTGTGCTTCATAATTACTGTGCAATCCTCCAAAATTACTGTGTAATCGTCACCGATCACTGTTTTCAATATTTGCTCTTACCATCGAAAAAAGAATTCCATGCATAATATCTATATGTGTATCTTCTCCACCAATCCTTCTCAGAATCTTCACAGTGTATCAAGTGCACCATTCACCTTGGAAAATCACACCACCACTAGTGCTCCTCAACTCCTCTCTAGGTCATGCACCTTACCCTCTATAAACGGAATATCTGCCTCCCTATATCTCCGTTGGATTTACAATGTCACCTCTTCTCTATATTCAGTGAATCTCCTCCCTTTTACAGCCCTCCGGAATGAAGCCTTCCATTTCCACATATTGACCAGGTTTGAGGCCAAAAGTGGAGTATGAGCACTGGTGGAAGCTGCAAAAGCAGAGAAAATAGGTTCCGTAGGCAGTGACTTTTTTTTCTTGTATAACTACAGCCTCAAACCTGGTCCATGTGTGGAGGTGGAGGGCTTCATTGGTCTGCCAGGGGGGCGGTTATATTCTCAGCCACAGGGTCATTAAGAATATACATTGATTTCTGATCTGCCCGCGACCTTAGAGGTGGCTGTGTCCATCTCTGATTGGGGTGCCCTCAGTCTGTCCCTGATAAGATTGTTTTGGAGGAATTGATTTTCTGCAGTTACATTTCAGCTCTTATTGATGCATTACATACTGCTTTGCATTGCTTTCCCCATCATATCCTGTCATTGGAGAACATTTGTCTCCTGAGCTACATTCTGAAGTCCCAGCAGAGGTGGTTATTCCCACATTGCACAATCATTTCTGGGTCAGGTCTCTTGATGATTTTTCCATCAAGGCAGAACAGGAGTTTTAGTTGTGACAACAGGTAGTTTAGATTCTGACTTGGACTAAACTTTGTGTTCTAGTCCGGCCCATTCTGTTTCCTTCAAATGCAATCATCTGGAGGCCAATTTTTCCCAATCGGGAAAGCAATCCACTCATCAAGCTGTGTTCCAGATCGTGTGCTGCAGGTCAACATTGGATCAGGACCATCTGCATGATAAACAAGCTAGTTTCCTGGCACCGGAATTCTCTGACACTAGTACGGACTCGATAAAAGGGTCTTTCTGGCAATCTTCCTTGTTTGTGTCTACCTAGGTGAATGTTCTTCAGTATTCTGATAAGACTACTTGCAGTTGCTCAGCAGATTCAGCTATGTCTGGGGAATCAGGAGCATCTGTAGTCCTTTGACTCTGTGAGGCTCCAGGATAGGAAGATATTTGCATGTAAGTTGTCCTTTAGGCCCTACCCCATGGCTGCCACCATAAATAATAATAGATAAATGGTCCTCAGCTCTATCAAAACTGTATTCCTCCTCACAAATTTTGTGAATGGATCTACCTTATATTATGTATGTAAAGGGCTTTCATATATGTACCTTACTCTGTTAGCCATGTTCACCCCGTGGGATTAAATCTTGGTTATTTAAGGGATTTTAGGGACCACTGCTGATCTCTTTGAAGATACTTCTTATCAAGTCCGCTTTATGGTTCTTCCTGGGTAGACTTTGCCTTAACACGATAGATGTCTGTCCCCTGGCAGGGTTTGAAGACATATACCCACATTCTCTCTTCGATCTATGGGATCAGGTATGTTGAACCTTATGCTTAGAGTCTTCCCTAATCTAGGACTGCTCTGGCATCCCCTTACCAGGACATCTTTCCCAGCTTCCTCTGTCTGATCTTAATTCTTGGAGTGGAACTCCTTCTTACTGACCATAATTCAGCAATTCCCTGTTGGGAAATTGTTTTCAGTCCACCCTTCTGGTGGATCAGGTAGAGAAAATTCCACATTATGGTCTATGATTCATTATTTCCCTTCCATATTCTATTTCTTATCAATAGTTGCAAGCACTCTCTTGGTCTCCTGGCATCAGGCTTGGTTCCCTCCTAACTTTTGGTCTTGCCCTTTCCTACCATTGGGGGAAAGCCTTATCTGGTGCCAGTTTCAGCTGTAGGACATTCAGACAGTCCTTAAGCGGCATGAATTCCCAGTTCTCTTGTTAACTTTGCTATCTGTTGTTTTTGGTTATCCACCCCTCAGTTCACTTCCTGTGTCCCTCAGTGGATGAGAGAAACAATGGGATTCAAAGGGCTGACCATAAAATAAAGTTTTCTCTGAGTCCATTGATTGACACAAATCCCAATCTTTTGGTGTGCCTCAGTCTGTAGAAAGCATGCTGGTAGTAGGAGGAGGTATCCTGGACTGCTGTTCCGTTTTCTTGTTTATGTCCATTCCTCCTGTAGGTGCAGGCAGTATAATTCAAAAGTATATGACTTCCTGTGTCCCTCAGTGGATTTTTTTTTTGTTTTTTACTTGCCGTAAAATCCATTTTTTTTTTTATAGAAACAAAAATTCTGTGAGGAGTGATTAATTGGCTACTCAATCTGTCCCTTGCCTAACTTGCTGTACTACAATATGTATTGTGCATGTTTTATAAATTCCTCAAATGTCCATGAACTCATATAGTTAATACTCTTGCTATCCTTTTATCTTCTGTTTATAGAATTCTTACAGTAATTCACAAGCCCCATCACCTGGTATGGGAAGGTGAGTTTGAATCTTTAGACAATCATCTTTTATCTGTCAAAAAAAAATAGTAATCCCAACCTCACTTTAGTACAAAATTGGTAAAATAGAAGTGTGCATGAGCACCACAGAACACTTTTCTGAGTGAAGTTTTTTTTTTTTTTTTTTTTTTTTACTATTGAGGTTATTTTTTTGTAATATGTGCAACAAACTGATGCCTAATGCTTGGCCACACACACCCAAGGATTTATCTTGGTCAGCCCACAGAGATATCTATTGGATTCCTCCATCTGTGCTACTGTATGTAACAGCAAGTGGGACCCGTGGCTGCTGAACACCCAAACCGTGACTGCACCTTATAGAATTGTACTTACTGTGTGGCCGATGATTGAAAAATCTGAATATTTGAGCTGGTAGCTACTGCCAGTGACAACCACAGCTCATGTTTTTTGACTGAATCAGCAGGAGTTGAGCGAAACCCGAGCCGTTGTTGTCCAGTTTAGAGGGATTATATTAGTTGCTATGATTCCTGTTGCTTTTTATAGCACAGGTTAGATGCAATCTGACAGAATTTTATAATATTTATTTATTTCCCTTTTTATTAGGGCTATACTGATACCATATTGGTATCCATACCGGTATCCATATTGATGCCAATACTAAGCATTTGCACGAGTACCAGTACTCGTGCAAATCCTCCGATACCTGAAACTGATACTTTTGCAGAATGATTTGAGTTCATAGTAAATGAATGGCCTCAATCGCACGGCAAAGAATTGCATGTAATTTGAACTGAAATCGCATAACTTCAACTGAAGTAGTGGTGCAGTTCCTGTCTAAATCACATGCAGATTCCCTACTGGTGCTGTGCAATTTTCAGCTCGACTTGAGCCATTAATTTTGTAGGGCTCAAATTACACTGCAAATAGCACTGCACCCACAGGGAAAACCACATGTGATCCAGACAGGAATCGCACCGCATTCCCGTTCAAATCGCATGCAAGTCTTTCCAGTGTGGTTTGAGCCTATTCATTTTGTATGGGCTCAAAGCGCACCACAAAGGTATCGGCGAGGTATTGAGCACAAGTATCGGTACTCGCCAATAAAAGCTAGTATTGGTGCAACCCTACCTTTTATGATTGCTTCATGTTTGTCTTATGTTTGTGCATGATAATTTAACATTTGGATATCTTTTTGTAATTTTTTTTGTGCAGCAAGTCTGTCAGTATGCCTTCACCAGTGTCCCCAAAGCTGTCTCCTGGCAACTCCAACAGCTATACCTCCAATGTGTCCAGTTCCTCAGGTGGTACGTCATCTGTAACTATTCCACAAAGGATACATCAGATGGCAGCAAGCTACGTTCAAGTCACATCCAACTTCCTTTATGCCACCGAGATTTGGGACCAGGCTGAACAGCTCTGTAAAGAGCAAAGTGGTAGGTATTATTCTAAAACATTCTTTTGTAAGCACATATCACATTAATCAAGGAAACTCATTCTTTTTCCCTAATTTCCATATTTTGTTAAAATCCACATTTGCTTAATCCTAAATAATCTCCTTGCCATGTGTCTATATGGTGAATAACAAGCTATGCTGCGTTTTGACTTGCTAAAAATGATCATTTCTTAACACGAGTTCCCATAATGCATTGTTTCAGTAGATCATGTGCTTGCAGTGATAAACTCTAGTTCTATGCTATAGCAGGAAGGGAAAGTGCTTTACTTAACTTTCTGTTCTTTGCGCAGTTTACTGCCAGCAGTGCCTATAACAACAAATCAGAATCCATGCTACTGAAATTAGAGTTGTTCAAGATAGATTTTATTTTGTTGATATGGTACTGTTCTTTGCATTTAGAACATTGCTTTTTGGCTTCGCTCTGTCGGATGGCTCACAGGTCAAGATAAAAATGCAAAGAAAAACTTTGTCTGTAGTTGACACCAAGTGACAAACCTTTTTGCAGGCTAAAAAGTACAAAATGAGAAAATGTACTTTATACTGTATTTACCAATTTACATTTTTTCTTTTCCACCAGAGTTTTTTACGGAATTGGACAAAGTAATGGGCCCCTTGGTTTTTAATGCAAGCACTATGACAGAACTGGTACGCTACACTCGTCAAGGTCTTCATTGGTTGCGCTTAGACGCCAAGTTAAAACATTAAGGACCTGAGGAAATGGGACCCCAAACTTTTTTCTTGCTGCCTCTAATTTTTTTTTGACAACACTGTGTCCTATTGAGAAGGAAGACTGCCATAATATATCAGTTGGCTGGCACTGAGGACAAATTGCTCTGCACATCTTGGTTTCAGCCATATCCATGACAACACTTTGCTAATCATCTTCCTCAAGCTTCACTTTTTATTTAAACTTAAAGAAACTTATTTAATTTTTTTTTTTTTAAGTAGCATTATGAATGTTTTATTTTCCCATCATTCTACGGAGGAATTCAAATTCCTGATATCATGCACGATAGATTTGTAAAACTATTTATTTTATTAAGCTTATTACAGATGTATAGTGTACCAAAGGGGGCTTTGTTTCACCCCTTGTCTATTACAGTCTGCCCTTAATTAGTGCAGGAAGTGGCGCATACAAGTTGTGACCCGCACTTGGTAGTATATGTAAGAGCCCACACATATACATGTTCTCTTTACTACAGCATTAAGCAGGTATGAACAGTGTACATGTGTGAACTTTAACTCTCAAATGTTGATGAGTTAAGTGGCTTTTAGATATCTCTTATCAAGATTAGCCCTCCAAGTACTTTATATGAGACAATGTATGCATTTCGGTTTTATTTTTATTCCTTCTTTAGTGGTTTGTGGGCTTTGTTACTTTGTACTGTCTTTTTGTGTTAGAAAAGTGTTAAACACAGTGCTTTTATTGTAGTTGTAGGTACTTTCCATTTATAACCAACAAGAACCGTTAAAAACAAATGCATTTTTATTATATGAGTAAGAACCAGGAAGACACATACATGTGATGTAAAAGATCAATGAGAGTAAATTGTAGAATTACAGATATTTAAGAGAATCTACATGTATTTCCTACTGGATAAAGAAAGTGTTCAGAGTAGGCTGCAACCACATGAGAATACACTATTTTACAATCATTAGAGAACAGAGCTTGTATGAAATACAATCTTCAGATTGGTTAAACAGGGTATAAGGACTTTTATGAGCACCAATACATATGATGGTCTAAATTCAGATATGCTGATGGATTCAGTCCACCATGTTGATTTCCCAGTATTGTGATTTGTGATGTACAGATTATGGTGATAAAACTCACATATAGTGTAGCTGGTGTTCAGCTAAAATGTATTGTTGGGGGTTGGGAGACATCTCTGAAATGTGGTGCAAAGGAATGTCAAACTATTACCCATAGCAGACAGTTACATTCTACCTGTTTTTCTTGTGCAATGTAGGCAAAATGTATTGTTTCTTATGTATTATATCAGCATTGACCCAGATTTTAAAAATATCAACCTCAAAAGCAAGGCTTCTTTGTATTTAGTCCATGCATTGGAATTATAATGGTATGGACATGTGTGGACATTAATGCAAAAGGCATTTGCATTAATACTGAATTTCTGTTCACTCCCTGGTAAAATGGAAGGGTTTCACAGTAGATCAAATGTCTCTGAGGAATTTAAAGCCAAGTATTACCTGCTCTTGATATTAGTTTAATATGAGGAATCGTTTGTCAGTATCTAGGAACAATTTGTACACAGAGGGAGGATCATCATCTTTTTTTAACCCTCTCCCAATTGTGCATATTGCTTGCCTGGCATTTTATGAATTTTAAGGATTTTTTTAGATCATGTTTTAGATTCTATTTGGGAACCTCAATTGTGTTCTCTAAATTAATTAAAATCTTTGCCAGATAAGGATAAGGCTTTGAGTTGCATGGAAGAGAGATTTATGGATAGCACGGTCATGATGGCCATCATTCCATTGCCTTGTTTCAAATCAATGCCAAAATCCACTTTAGCAATAATCACAGCACCTAAATTATTGTGCAGGAACCTTTGGGAGGCATTGGCACAAAGATTTTAGTTTCATCCTAGAAGTGGTGAAAAGATTTTCATTGAAGGGAACCTTCTGTTATTCCCTTATGCAACTGCAGCATTCTGTATTATATCAGCTCTGCTATTAAGCTGCTTCAAACGCAGCTTGAAAAGATTGTTGAACAATTGTTTCCTGTTTTCTCTCTACACCTTTGTGAGATTAAGGTCTTATGTACACTATCATCAAAAAACAGACCACTCAGGTCTGCAAAGTGAACATTCCTAAAAAGATCTCAATGTATCCTGTGGTCTTCTATGTACATTTGTACACTAGATTTTCCAAAACTTTTACAAGCTCAACGTTTAGAAACATTTATCAAATCAGGAAAAATTTGCATTCACGGTCTGTTTAGTGTTGGTTTTGCGGAGTTGAATGTAGCTGAACGCATGTAAATGCGACTAACGTGCCTAAACCTGCTTTAAAACTTCTAAATGCAGGGCAAAAATGATCTGGGAGGAATAAACGTGATTTATACTTCCCAGATAACTTCTCCTGTGTTTTTAGAAAAGTTCAATGTAGGAATGCTAACACACAAATGAACCATCCTAAAAAGAATCACTCTAATTCTAGCCATACTCACAGTTGTTTTGTGGCAACTTTAGCCCCTGTAAAAATGGACACAGTTCAGGGAAACCAGCTTCCAGCAGTTTCTATTAAACTGTGAAACAACTAAGCTGTTATTGGTAGGTTACCCTGACCTGTTCTATCATTTGTGGTTGAAAGGTGGTCAGAATTACCACACAAGAGCTTGGTGTACAATCAACATAAGAAACCTTGTGCAATCAGAATCTACTATGGAGCTCTGCCTTACCAAAAGTAAATCTTAAAAAAATGGAATACAAGTAAAAAAATAGTTATATATTTTATTGTTTCTTTATTCCCGTCTCTTTATTATGGGCATGCCTGTATCAGATAAAATTTGTCAGCTGTATTTTGGCTTTTAGAGACCTTAATGTTTTAAATTTGCATTCTAACAAAGTATAAACTTACCATTTTATGACCTAGAAAGATGCAGAATTAGTTGGCACTATTGTATTGACGTACACACCGGTTATGTCTGGTTTTGGGTCCCCACAGAGGTATGGGAACACTAAATTGATGTACTTAAGAGTGTGAAGTCCCGTGACAGTTTACTGATTTCTCTTTATTATGCAGTCTGTGGTTTGTATTGGGAATGCTGCTTTTTAAGACTTTCTTCCAAAGTACCTTGTGAAGGTGCATTCTGGGTAGAAGGGAAGCAATGGCTCACTTTTTAGCATTGTGCCACTGTCTTTTCTGGGTGTGCCTTACCTCTGTCTTTTTTTTAGAACTACTTTTAGGACTGTTAACAAGGGAATACCAAGTATTATTGTTTTCTCAGTACCAGAGGAAAACACTTAAAGAAGTTCTAGAGAGCGGAAGTCCCAATAGAATAGAAGAGTCTTTGACGTGTGTATATATATATATATATATATATATATATATATATATATATATATATATATATATATATATATATATATATATATAGCTCCCAGCAGAGTTTGAATACAGTTGAATATTTTGTGGGTCCTTGAAAGCACTGGAGAGAGCTTTCATGGTGTGTTTTTAGAGAATTGTAACCTATGCACACAAGAAGTTGTTTGCCCTTTTTCCTAAGTGTTTTACATCCTTGGCAAATTCCTATTTGTCAATCTGCTTTTGAGGGATGTTTAGGAACTTCATGGGTAATTTTTCCAGCAACTATTGGTGTTATTTATTACATAGGTGTTTATTTCGGATGTTTTACCAGACCTCTGCTTGTTCCACGTACCCACAGACCATTTCATATTCCCAGCCTCAACACGTTGAATTTTAACCCCTTCTAGACCACATAATAGGTAAATTACACTGCTTTCAACTTTTTCTTTCTTTTCTAAAAAAGCAAGCATAACATCTTATGTTAGGTCTGATTGATGTAGCAATTCCTGCTATGTAATATCAGAAAAATTAAAGATCTGTTGCAGACGTAAGATAAGTACATACATCGATGGTCAGACCCCCTTTATAACTGCTAAAAAGTATTGGCTTACTTAAATTAAGTCTGAAGTAGGCTTTTTTGTGAGTTGTGAAACAAGATAGGTTTTGGTTGGAAAGTGCTTTTTTTTTCCTTTTCTTTTTTTTTCACCTGCTTAAAACTGAGGCCCTGTTCACACCTGAGCAACGCTGCAGTGTTGCATTTTGTGTTGCATTTTGTGTTGTGTTTTTGGAGCGATACCATTCATTTTGAATGGGCTCCAAAACTGCACCAAAGACACATGTACCAAAGTTTGGCACTGAGCCAGGTGTGCTTTGTTTTGCGTGTTTTGCAGTGATTTTCATTAATTGTGTCACATGACAGTCGTGGCAAAATCGCACAGCTTTTGGGGTGCTATTACGAAATAATGGCACTGCAAGCATGTTGCACATTTACTGTAGTAATAAAATTGCAGGCAAAATCATCTGATTCTGCCCGCGATTCCAGTATGCTCAGGTGTGAACAGGGCAGGTTTGTTCATGCACCCCCTTTAGGAGTAGTATAGGAATTTTAAACATATGTAAATCCCATATATGTCACGTTTCTTTTAGGCAGCATGTATTGCTGAATAAATGTTGGGTCATTTTATTTTGTCTGCGTTCATTTTTTAACAGTGTAATTATTGCAGAATAATGCATTATGGGTGTTTTTGTTTACTTTCACGCTAAATTCAGGTTGAAAACACACACGCTTATCCCAAAAAGAGGCTAGACCATTTGGATACCATAAAGGGCCGGAAGTTTCTGGTACAGAGAGTCTGTGGCCTGAAAGAAGTATTGTGATCAGGTGTTCTAACTTAACAGGCTACATGCTTGTTAATTTAATGGTGATCGTAGTGTAGTCCAGAAGAAGGTCCAGTATGGGGGTCATTCAGTGCATGCACTCTGACACCAGTCTACTGTGTCTTATCACATCCACTTGTTCTCCAGTGTAATATTACATAATATGTGCTGCACAGTAACCTATTGCAGCTAGGCATCTGTGTATACCTGTTAGAATAATGAAAGATGATTTCTGTTTTGGTTTCTAATGAATGCTGTTATTTTTCCTATTGAAA